TGCGGTGTATCACCACGTCACAGCCTGCTGTGGTCCAGCCAGAGGCCTGGCTGGAGGTATCTCCAGTTCCCCACCAGCAAGGGGCTGTGCCCACCTGAGCCTTCCCCCACATCGCATTCAATCAGACCCAGGAGCAGGAAAGCGCTCCCAGGTCATGCCGTTGGCAGGGCAGGCAACAGCCCTAAAATTACAAAGAGGAGAAACAAGGGCACAGCAGTGCGGAGGCACGGGGGAAGGTGGCTCATGTCCTGCACCTCCCTGATGGTTGCATTTGTTTTGTTGCCAGTAATTTGTCACACTCCTGCTTGTAGAATATACGTGTTACAGAGTATTAGCCAAAACTGAAATGTGTGCAGTTAGGGACGAAAACAGCAGCAGCAAATTTTTCTTGCTTTCCCTTTGTAGTGGGAAAATGTAAGAGAAGCATAAGGGTGAGGAAATGAAGTTAAAATTCAGCGACAATTTTTTTTTCAGATAGAAGAGGCAAACTCAGCTCTGAAGTATATGAAGTCCCTTATTCTTTATAAGCCTCATATAGGCTTAATGGAACAAACCATAAACCCTTAAAAACCCATAAGCTACAATCCAAAATATAAGGAATGTCACAAGGAATGTCAAATGGAAAACGCTTCAGAAAAAAAACCAAAACCACCTCCAAAACTTCGGGTTTTGAAACCAGCTTGCCAAAATTTTGTTATCACTGAAGGGAAATCAGCTTCATCTCTGGCTCTGCCCCAGATTTCCTCCACTTTTAAATTATGCTTTGAATGGGGACCCACCCAGTGGAGATGGCAGGTGCTCACAGTGACGATAGCCATCCCTGAGTTTTCACCTCGCACGGGCAGCAGTGGAAGTTGCAGCCCGGTGGGTCAGATTGCCGGGGTGAGCCCCGTCGTACCCTCCCACCCAGCTGATATCCCAGGTGACACTGTTCAGCCCGCGCCAAAGCCTGCGTCACCCCATCTACAATGCCTCCACTCCTCCCCAGGGATGGGCCAGCACCTGACCTCACTGTTACTGACAATGATCATAAGTAACAACCATTTTTGCACAAAGCTCCCAAGATTTACGTCACCAGAGCTAAGAATTGAATCTAGCCCCAGAAGAGTCATAGGAGCCTACTGGCAAAATGATAACCAACCCTGTCCCTGTTAACAGTCTTCATAGCAGATCAGCGTAGTCAGAGAAACTCCTTCTCTACGGGGAGCCTCTGCTAAATCCATCTGCATCACTCTGACAACTTACCTAGTTCTTCATACAAAGACTTGGGGTTATAACAGGTGACAAAGCAGGGTGTCCTGGTCTCCCCCTGGACCCACCATGGGTTTCTCCAGGCTTTGCTGGGGCTTTCAAGCAGTTGGTGGAGAGACGGCAGAGAGCAGGGAAGCCAATGTAGGGCACGGGCACTGCAGTTCTGATGAAAAGCTACAGTACCTTCACTTTTCATTTCATCAATGTAAATTTAAACCTCTGGCCTCCACAGTAAAAACCTGGAGCTAGTAAACACAACTGCAACTGAACTTGGGGACTACTAACCTACATCTCTCCCAGTTGAAGTCATTCTGTTTGTGCCTATGTCTCACCTGAAAGCGATTAACGAAGATGCTAGTAGAGGTATGTCATATAGACATAGCATGAAAATAACTAGATTTCCATACTGCCTTACTCATCTGATCTGCTTTATCTGATCAAAACAATCAATGGTTATGACATTTAATAAGTTTACACTTAAAGGAGTACATAAACGTAAGGCCTTCAGATCCAGGAAGATCCTTGAAGCAACTCACAGATGTTATTTATATAGACAAGTGCTGCTTTTTTCACTGCTTTGGGGATAGATATTTATTTATTTAACAGAACACAACACTACAGTTAACACATCAATAAGAATATTTTACTAAAGCTACCTTTGCCCCTGCGTCTGCAGGAACGCCTATGCACCACAGTGGCGTGGTCAGGTCTCTCTACCATTGCAAATGCAACTTGTGAACAGTCTTGGAAATTATGTCTGTTTGATCTCAAAAAATATTTAAGTAGAAAAAAAGCAGTCATTCAAAATGAAACGTGGAAAATGCGGGGATTGCAAGCAAGCAATGTGTTGTTTTTCTATCTATCAGCCCTAAAAGACATTCCAGCGGACATTGCTCCCTTCCAGCCTTCTGCAATATGACCTCAGAAAATGGTGTTGCTACAACTGCCAGTGGATTGCAAAATACAAACAAACAAAAACCATTCTGATTTTCCTGAGAGCATTCCCAGCCAAAAAAGACACGCAAGATTCTCCTGCAGAGCAACCTTAGAAACAGGGCAGCCAAAAGTCATGTACAAATAAGCCCTTACAGCTAGGGCTTGGTGACCACCTTATGGAAAGAATTGCTTCATAACTCTTTCAGTGCTGGAAAACATTAAATTATCCTGGAGGAAACCAAACTGAGGTGATGCCTGAAAAGCATAATAAATTAGAATATACACTTACCACCCTTCTCCTTCCCATCTAAAGACCTAAAACAATATAGACAGATCAGAGCAAGCCAACAATGCCATTCTGTGGCCTAGATCTGATTAAAAGGGGATACTGGTACCAGTGGCATTGCAGTAATGGAACTGCGGAATAAAATGTCTTGCTTTCAAACCTGTAAATGCTTATATGCCCTGTGGAAGAGAAGGGAGCAATCTGAGCTCATAAAAAAGGACATTTTGGTAGAGAAGCAAATGAAAGAATATTTTCCAGCATCCCTGACTGAAGAAAAATCAGGTCATCTGGAGAACAACCACCTGCTCTGACCGGTCCCGCAGTACTTTTTGATACATGATGTCAAGGACTGCTTGATGTATCTAATAAAATCTTCAAAGACATCTCACCTTTGTCTAGTGCTGAGAGATCAAGTGACAAAGGAGGCTAATGGAAACACTGCAGCAAACCTGGACCTAACTCTTGACTGATAGGAAACTAGCAAAATCCAGATAAAAAATCGGGCAATCTTGCCATAATCTTTTCAACCACCTCTCTAAAACAAAGAGCCCTGCCAAACAGCCGTTTTCCTTCTTAAACAACTGGGAAGCAGGTCAGGACGAATACAAAGTTTCAGCAGTGCTCGAAACTTGCAACAGGGAGCAGTTCAGAGTAGCTAGGAGGCAGGTTTACATGCTGCTACCTCCTTACAACACGATGCTTTGCAGCTTGCCCAACGTGTCCACCAGCAGAGAAGGTAGCCGTGTCAATGAGCTGGCTACCTTATCATCATCAAATGGCATTTTCATGAACCAAACCTCACCACTACTTACGTAAGAATTTTATGCTTTTCATTCCCAGCGGAGGCTTCAGTCCCTAGACTAATCTGCTAATAAATTTCCCAGTGCTTTCAATCCGTCGCAATTCCCATGTCATTGACCATGACCTATAGCTTCTTCGTTAAATCCAGAATTGCTCTACTTGAAATCAGTCAAGGCAGTACCTTTAAAGCAGACCCTTTCAAAGATAAAGGAAGAGGAAAACTGGCCTGAATCCAACTAAAATTATTTGAGCAGAGAACATAAAACCCCAGGAGAAATACTGCGAGATAAACCAGTAGAAGTAATTTTCTAATTACTGTCAGAGTTTTCAAGATCTGATGCGGACAAAATTTAAGAGGCACGATGACATTCCTAAACCTGTAGTCGAAGTGAAGATGGGACAGAGGAACGTAGCAAACACCGTACAATCACCAGCACCCATTCCTCAATTAAATATCACAGCCCGGCTGTGTTTCGGGTGTTTCCTGCAGACATCCCACTTGCAGTCCTGAACCAGCCGGAAACAATCGGAATAAACCAGCAGGAGTGGCACAAGGCAGTACAAAGTACACAGCATTAATGTAGATTATCCTGTCAGCAATATGTTTGTGACAGCTTGTTCTGGCTTTCCACCTCTGCCTACAGCTTCACGCTTGGCACAGGCACCCTCGTCTCTCTCAAGAGGTGGCAGGACCCGCCAGCTCTCCCAAACTAAAAAGTCTGGGTCTTTCTTTCTGCTTCCAGCTGCGAGGGCTCGGCTGACTGCATCCTGCCCTTAGCCACCCCCTCACCTAATTAGGTGGGATACTAAACTGCTTAGCAGTATTTCACTTTCCATCGCAGTATAAAGAGTCCAGGTTACTAAGGATTAGCAAGTATAACATTAAAGTGTTATACGTACACAGAGAGTTGCCTGTCCTAGTCTCCGCTAAATCTTGGTCGCAGGGGACCTGTTAAAAGATAGGAGATGCCAAAAGGAAAGAAACCACAGACAAACAAGGCGATGAATCTGGACTATGGTGGAAGTGGCTGCATACATGACCCCGCGAGAAGGAAAAGGAGCGTTACCAGGAGTTAGCAATAATTGACGTTCAGCTTTCTGGACAGGCAGACAAATGGAGCAAAGGAAGGAAATAAATACGTTTTTGAACAATTCAAATACAACAACAGTCAGAATTTAATGGCCATGGTCATTAAGGGGCAAAAGGGAGAACCAGATTACTGCAAATGAATAGGAAAGCCTGTTAGCATGTCAGTGATACTGTTTCACAATTTTTTTAAACAGAAAGCAGCCTCCCGTGAAGGTAGGGAAATTAAATAAATGATCTGACCTTTGTTTTTTCCCAAAGGTCACATAACCAAAATTTGTTTTACATCTCCAAACATGTTGCTTTTGCTATTCTTTTTCTTAATTGGATTGTCCACCACTGATTACCTCTGTAACTTGTGGACTTTGCTCAAACTTCTCTCCATGGCAGGTTTGCTAACTTACGGCTGGCCTATAAAGAGGTAAAAAAAAAAATAATCTGTTCTAGTAAAAGGCCAGGCTACTCCTAAATTGATTTCCATATCACACAGCTAGTATAGTAGAATACCCTCTATTCTCATCACCTATTCTTAGCACTTTTCTTTCATGCAGCTGTTGTAAGAGCACCAATAAATCTGCCTCTTGCATCTACCCACTGTCTCTGTCATGTTATAACCAGATGTCGTAACTACACACAAACCCGTTTACATCAGTATCTCGTTCAAGGATGCTCTGTTGCTCTGTTTCTTCTTTCATTTGCAAAGGGAATATGAGTCCTTTGGCACCTGTGTGCAGGATCTGGCAGGCAACAGAGAGGGGGAAGAAAGTGATCTTCCCAAAGTTACTATTTTCCCAGAGGATGCCCTGAGGTGCTCCAGCGCTTTGCAGCGCTCCCACCACAGCCCGTGCCAGCGGCCGAACCGAAAAACCGCCCAGGCACCAGTCACCCTCACTGCCCCTGCACTCGGCGGCCCCGTCACACAACCCGCACACGCTGAGGCTGGGCAGCTTGGCACCTTCTTGCTAAAACCAGCGCGATCCAAGCGCCTACCACAGTCTCCACAGGCTGGGCACTCCAGTTTCTGTGCATTAAGTACACATTTACAATAGCTTGCTTTTACAAGCCTTGGGAAAGGTAAATGCTATCTCTTTGAGGTCGGTAATGATCAACGCAACTGCATATTTGCCACCCAGCTAACCTAAGTGCCCAGAGAAAAAGTTGTAGCACTGTGTATTCAACAAGTTTTTCCACTTTCACGATACCCTAGAGCACATGGCAGTTTGCTAATGTTTACTGCTTTTGGTTTTGTCTTTTTTTTTCCTTTAGCTGTAGCCTGCTTTGAGATTCATGAGTGTAAGCACACTACAAATGCGTATCAGAGAGTTTCACAATTACTCTGCATCTGGACCAAGATTTCACTCCAGCACGTTTTCCAAAAGGCAGCCAGTCTTGAATTCAA